AAACACAATGGAGACTGACGAACTCAAAGTATTTCGTTAACATTAGAAGCACAAAAACAAAGAAATGCACTGGCAGGGAATCGAACCCACGTCTGCTACCTAACCCTTCATTTACTGCATCTTCTATATTCTTTTATTTTAATAAAGAAAATACTATGATACTTCAACCAAAAATTCTTCAAGTACAGAAAATTTTTGTCAGATTTTTGAGTTCTCACTCACATGAGAGTGGGCCCGTGTATAAAATATTGAAAAAAAAATAAAATTCCAGCATTTGAATGTGAGTGTTCGATAAGTACAGGGATTTAAATGTGAGTATTCGGTAGGTACAGGGATTTAAATCCCTGTACCTATAGCAAGGTTGTATTTCAATTAAGAAAGTTGAAGATGAAACAAAACTACAACCACCTTGATAAAAAAATTTAAGATCTATTGCGAGTTCAAATTAAAAACCATAAATAAGACAACTATTTCAATAAGAGAGGGAAAAAAAATATTCAAAATATATTTAGTGAAACAGATAAAATTTAGATTTATATTCTCATTTCTATAATTTGGGCACTGTAAATAAGAAGTACAATCAGCTAAAGCAGAAAACAATAAAACTGCACAAAGTGACAATCTTGCTGTTAAACTCCCCCTCTACATATTCGTCTCCGCATCACTTCTGTTAACCTGTTTACACAATCTAATCCCTCTAAATGTACAAATTATGTTTATATGCAGCTAGAAACATTTACTCTACTTCTGTATACGTTTGAGTTTGTCCGTTCAGTTTTGAAAGATGAGAGGAAGCGCTGCTTCATTAAATTTTCCTACGACACAGATTCAGATGCTCTGACCTCAGCCTCCACAGCAGGATCCAAGTCGGCTGCTTCTTTGCCCACTTGATAATGGTAGAATTAGTTATGTTGGCATGGTGGTTAGGATTCTTTCAGTTTAGACAGTTGGACAGAATATTGGGAAGTTAATGCTGTTAAACACAGCTGTAATGATGTATTTTTCTCCCTTTATATACCGGACAAATGTATTCATTCTTCAAGAATGTATAAAAGTTCAATTCCTTTTCTCTGTTTCTGGCTTCTTAATGCAACTATGATTTTAACTCATTAATGTTACAAATTTCAACTGTGGAATTGGCTCGAGGAATCACAAGAGACGGAATGTCTCTGATTCTGTATCCGCTGCCCCAAAACGAAGCGAGACAAAGGCCCATTATAGCCATGGCGACCACAGAGCAAGCGAGGGGAGTGCTTCCTAGGAATTGTGTTGCGAGGAGCCCTGCCAGCGTCGAACTTTGCATTCAGTGCACAATGAGATTGTCCTGCAGACTTCTTCTTCTAACTTGCCACAACACATCAGATTGACTTTAAAAGACGATTTTAATAGAGGGTAATGCTATGCAAATAAACCTTTAATTTAAAATCAAACAATTCAAATTTCAGCCGACTGAAAACACATACAACGTTTGACCAGGAATATGTATAAAAAATATTGACATATTATTATAATCTTGCACCAATAAAGAGCAAACGAAAAGGGAGAATGAAAGAAATATGACAGAATGAGAGAGCATAAATAATTTTCTTTATATTCAAATCAAATATGGATTCAGAATGGCCAAATGTTGACATTCAAAAATTAAATCTAAGATCATAAACATGCAAAACATGGAACCATGCGGGCTTCAGACTGAAGATTGCTTCTGGCACGGATCAATCATCAAAAAACTTGAGCCGATAATAACAATATAACTTGATTTGTTTAATCTCATTCTACTGCAAGCGAACGCATGAACCTGAATCTCATGGAACTGCTTTTATTGACGCTTCAAACCAACAACGAGGGTGCAACTCGAAGGAATAGCTTAACTCAAAGGTAGAATTTTGGAGATACAGTAGCCCAGGGCGAATGCTACTGCATGAAATGAGAATGCAGGGCCGACCAATCTCACACACTCTACTGAAAGAATTTGGCTCCTATTTATAGCAAGGGGCTTCCAAAACACAATGAAGTACAAATCATTGCAACAGAAGGCATTAAAGGTTGTAGAACAGATACAACTGGTTTCACATGAATATTTATTACCAGCCTAAGAGTGACCGGAGCAAGAACCACCTGGAAAATGCAGAAAATCCCAAAAAAGCTAAGGAAAAGAATGGATGGGTCCCATCCAATATGGGAATCTCAGTCAATAAATAAGATACCCTGGATTACTTTTGAAGTTAAGCATTTGAATTTCAAATGGTATATAAATCACCGACAGTGTAAGGTTTTGGACTAGGTTTCTTCTTGAATGGATAGAATTCCTTTTGAATGAGCTAATAATTGATTTTCACATTCCCTGAGCATAGAATGTAATTTGAAAAAAAGACCACAATTTTATTCTCGACATTTGTGACGAAATAGAAAGAGACAATTGCATTTATGTTCTTGTGGAGTTTTGGTACAAGCAAAACTGATTTTGACATAGCAATTGCATTAACTGGAACCACAGAACTATGAGAAGGCCGGTTAAAAGAGGAGTAACAAGAATTAATGCAATAGTAGTCGAGCTGGTCAATAGAATGCTCAAGGCCTTTGCTCAAGAAGCTGGCATAGCTTGATAGTTGTGCCCAGGCAACACAAGACATGAGAACAAAACCAGCATAGAACATATGAGACAACCCAAATCCCCGTGCTACCAACACCCAAAGAGCCGGTTTCAAAACATATTGCGCAGCAAAGCCAACAGATAACGGCTTGGGTCTGCAACAAACTCAAATTTATTAACTTCAAATGCCTTGAAACCATGTCAATACCAAGAAAACTTCAAAGAATAAATAGTAAAAATAGTAATTTTTTAAATGCAAGAGCAAAATCATCAATGGAGAGTCTAATTCCAGTAGATAACATGATTTCTTTAACTCCAAGTGCAGGAGCATACAATTCCTGGACACCCTGCAGGTTCCTCTATCGTTTACAAAACCAACACACAAATCTTTAAGAAAGTATACCTCCTGGGGAATAGCTAAGTGGTGCAAAGGACATGAGTGAAGTTATCTTATGCCTTACTGACAATCGCAGTGTGGAGGTTCGATTCTTGAGACATGAAATTGGACTCCTTGTAGGCGCAGTGTACAGACAGCTCTTGTTCCCTGGCCTGTTGGGGCACATCCCGCGATTTACCTTCCTCACAACATTCTAAAGACGAGACGGTGGAGACCCTCAAGGTTGGAGTTCAACCTTTATATCTTTAAGAAAGTATAAAGCAAGAAGTTACACTTGTATAAGTATTAAACCGTTTTTTCCAAAAAATTGAACTTTTCGCTGTTAAAACTAGTATATAAAACAATAACTGAAAAATAGCATGTCCGGCCCCCATTAAAATGGGGTACTTTTAAAAATAGTATTTGTCAAAAAAGGAAAATTCCACTTTGACTTGTTTAATTCTTAAAATTATGATAATGACATATTGAGTGTTAAAAGACAAAAATACCCTAAAGTGTATTATGCAATTACAAAAGAATGCTTTGTTTAAAAGACATTATTACCTTTTTGTTAACAAATAAAAACCAAACACTTCCACTTAAAATATCAAAATCAGCAAACTTCTCATATTTGTTCACTCCAACACAGATAAAAATACTTTTATCTGCTTCAATCTCAAGATTTGAAAAATTCATCGAACGCGGTAACTGAAATTTTTTTATATCAATCTCATCAGATCAATAATTTTATGATACGCACATTTATTTTTGTTTTCATTAAATTATTTTACGTTTGTATAGATAAAATTTATTTCGACATATAATGTTAATGTAGATAGTTTTATTAATAGATCCGAGAAAAATTTTAAGCCTTTGACGAGAAAAAATTCAACTGCATTAATATTGAAAAATTAACCTGCAAAAGTTTGGTGTGTATATTCTGCCATACAGCGAATTTGAACTGCTTGCTGTCAATTAATAGTTGAAAAAACCCGACTGGACAGCCGAACCATTTAACAGCCAACTGAACAGCCTGATGGACAGTCGGCAGGCAGAGTCGAGCCGGCTGTCCAGTTGACTCGGAACAGCAATCAATTGCTTCTCGAGCCAAGTTAAAACCAATCAATTGCTTCTCGAGCCTCAACCAACAATGAACATGTTTTCATTTCACAAACCTGAGGTAAACTCTACGTTGAATTTTATTGTTCTCTTTCGAGGTTCGAGAAAAAAAAATTCAATTAGAAGAATATAAACATGAATCATAAATTTAAAAAACTTAAGCAATACAAATTCCAAAAACTATGACAATTCAGTTTTCTTTTTTTCAAAAGCAAGAATTAGATTCTCAAATATGTGACATATGAGTGTAAAATTTTATTCTTCATCCGATCAAGACTAGTCGTATTTTAATTATATACAATACTATTAATAATACACAACATTATCACAACGCCAACGCGAACACAAACTCAAGCAAACCCCGACCGAGCGAGCAAACAAACTAGAAAAGAGAGAGGCATGCTAAGCTAGACTTGTATGCATACAAGGAAAATCCATACAAAATCTACAATGCTGTCCTTGCAATATTGTCCTGATTAGGCTGATACCAAAGCTTCTCTGATTTAATCTGTTTATAAAGACATTGCGATCAGATCGAGTTACACTTTACAAACTAAAACAAATTGAAATGATCAGACATAAGACATAATTAAAGCAAATTGCTTTTTCGATTAAGAAAGATTTGTTAGTACAAAAAAAAGTAGCTTTGTTTAGCAAAATAAGTTAAAAGCTGAACCAAACATGCTCTAAACTATAGCAAACTAAAAAATGAAAAAAATGGTTCAAGATAAAGAATATATTTTCAAGAATCAAGAACAAGAATTCAAAAAAGTGAAAAGACAAATCGATAAATTGATTAACAATTTTACAAATGAAAGTTGACCTTAGAAACTGTTTCCACTATATGTCTTCCATCTTCAAGATCCGGGACATGAACAGCCAAACAATCCCTTGGAGTCTCAAATGAAGACAAAGAAAACTGCTTAGAAACCACACCCACATCAAAGTATATCAAACCGGAACTTGGAATATCAACCCGGATTTCCTTCACCGGCAACCACAAGAACAAATCTTGAGCAGAAATCCCGGACAGCCCGTCGATCTGCCCATAACGTAAGGTGCCCGAAACATTGCTGTGATAGTGCATTTCATTTTCAAACTTGGCGGTGCAGGCTTGATCCAAATGAACCTTGACGTTTCCTGAATTGTCCAAGGTGAAGTTCTTTACGCCTTTCGGAAGCAAGCCCATTGGCAGCCCGTGAAGCTTAAGCACTTCATAAATGGAGGATTCTGGTATTTCATTGGATTTAACTACCGATAACAATGAACAGATGAAGATAGTGAATAGTAATGTCGGAAAGTGAAGGAAATAAATCATTTTTCTGGGAGGATAGTGTGATAACATAAAAAAATTTCTGGGTAAAATGAATTATTGAAGAACTAACAGTACAAGCGTCTATTACTGAACTCGCCGGAGGTTTAAGAGAGACGGTGGCTGCCCGGCTGCCCGGTGGTGCCAGCAAGAAAACGGAGAGGTTTAGAAGAGCCAACTAGCCAATGATATTTATCCCAGGAGGGGTAAAGTAGTAATTTGAGTTTAGGAGCGTAAATGACGCGCTTACTATGGGAGCGTGGGGTCATTAGACTTGTAGCTTATATACTTGAAAACGAACTAGAAGAAATCAGATTGGAGCGTGGCTGTGGGCTTTAAGTACAGAGTATATACCTTCGAGCGCGTGCATATGAATTTGTTTTGGTCATGATGGAAGAATCCAAGGAAAAGTTTAAAGCCCGTTTATCAAATCTTTTGTTTCTACATATTTGTACAGGTACATTGTGAAGAATTATGTTAAATTAACTTTATTTGAATATTTCTTAAAAATTATATGAAGTTAAAAAATAGTTTCTGTTACACCTCTTCTATCGAGGCTCCATATCACCTGCATGTGACCGCAATCTAGCAAACTAACTAGGCAACACTCTACATCGCCATCCTATTTGATCGAGGTAGAACCATAATCAAGGTGATGCATCAATTCATCTGAGGTGCTTGGAGGGCCGACCCGCCAACCTTGATGTGAGGTGCTACGTCTACTGCATGAAGAAATCTTCCCATGACTGATTGGTATGACCACTCTTCGACAGAAATCTAAAATGTCAATTTATTAGTCTCTGTTTCACAGATTAGACTAAGATTTAGAGTTACTGCTTGTCAGAAGCGTTAAATGTCTGTAGCTTAGGATTGATAAGGTGACACCTAGAAGAGAACCTCGACCATCAAGATGAGGTAATGTGTCACTTCTCACTATAAAAGTTCACATATTATATCATTTGAAAGTAATGAAATTTTATACAGAAAAGTATAAGCTTACTCTCTCTTGTTTCACTATACCTCCCTAGTATTTATACAATATTGTGACTCACGGCTCCTAAATGTCCCACACCCAATATTTTATTCTTGTAGATTAAATTGACCATCAGAATGCTCGCGATTGCCTTCTTATCACTGGAGAATGTCACGGGTGATTAACGATTTGTCCAAGTGTGCAGGAGCATATCTACTTATACTGATTAGAACCGGAATCTATTGGGCGAACTGAAGGTGTAAAATCAAGATAAAAAATTTCTTAATCTTAGAAGCGATTTCTAATTTTTCAAAAGCTCTATCAGACACGCAAGCCACTAGGACGGTTGGAGGTGTAGGAGGTGAGCTGGAGTGGGATGGGATAATAGTCTCAAGAAATGAATTCAAACATCCAGCTGCAACTATCGTGCATGCATGTGAATATGGGGCTGGAATGATGATAATTATGATTTTGTCATGGCTTAAAAGTATTATTGCCCAAAATAATTCATGTCTTGCACTTTATTTGGTTGATAGGGTGGTCAACAAGATCATTCTTTATATAATATAATACTAAAACATATTTTTTTTAAAACCTATTTGATTCTAGACTCTACATTAACACCGTCAAGTTACATGCGTTCCTAAATTTACGTTAGTCAATTATCAATAATAGTAAAATACATACAACAATCCGAACCACGAGATACAATAAAATTTATAGTGATGGCCAACTGCTGTATTTTGCCTCCTCTGCATTAATCAACTATTAATCTATTTAAAAATACCATTGTTATATTCTTATTAAAAAAAAAAAAAAAACTGCGACATTTTAATTATTTGTGTTTTGTTGTATTGATTAAATTTTACAATAAGTTTTGAGCATTGAGTATGCTTAGTTGATAGATGAGAACATCCACTAATAACCCATACATGCCTTCTTGTGTCCCTACATTAAATGGCACGCATTGTATATTTTAATGCACAATTTATGAACTTTAAAGTGATCTAAAGGTCCAATTGAAATTGACTTGAGAGAAATAAATGTTGAAAGACTGGGGCTGCTCATAGAATTAAAAACTAAACAAAAATAAGCATTTTCTCATCGTAAAAGATGGGTATACAATAGAGTAAGTGAAAGGCATTTTCACCTCTCTCATCGCTCCGTTCTTTCTCGCTAACCGTGACGATTGTCGCCATCACCATCACAATTACCAACACCGACGACCACCACCATCACAATCTGAAGCGGAGAGGCAAACAAAGCGGAGAGTGTGGAATAGTTGTTCTGGTGGTGCAACGGCGCGCGATGGTCCAATGGTTGCAGTCAACGATTTGGTGGATATCTAGGGTGAATGTGGTGGTGGGGGTTTTGAATTTAGATGTGATGTAGATGATGTGGTGGTGGTGGAATCGACTCATGACTATGGGAAGATGGTGGTCTGACGGCTGCAGTCGGCAATTTGGCGTGGCAGCGACGAATGTGGTGTTAATGGTTGTGGATTGGGGCATTTGTTCAAAATATGTTGCATCTCTGTGGTGGAAGTAGGCGTCCCACCTCTGTTGCATCGCTATTGTTGGGAAATTTGCATCACTGAGGAAATTGGGGAAGAACCAATAACCAAGAAATGAAGAAGATGAAGAACATAATGAAATAAAGGCTCGAACCCATAATCGCTGTCCTCAAATTATTTTTGCCTCATCTCGGAATTGTTTGAGATGCTTAAAGATTTTGGCAAACGGTTTGTAAGATTATATCAAACCTTGTAAAGGATCCAACGCTAAAGTATAAGCACGTTCCTCCAAAACTTTAAGAACACAAGAAAAATTTGAATATGAATAAGGAATCAATGGTTTGATTTTATGTGGAATATTTGGATCAAAAGGTGTTTTTCTCATATTTGTAACTGTTTTTTTTCACACCCTTGAAATGATCACAAATCACCTATATATAGCCATGGATGATAGCTAGTCGAAATGGTGACAAACATAATGAAAAGCCACCAAAATTTGAACTTTCAACGGCAAGAAACAATATTGCAACGGTCGGATTTCTTACCCATGCGACCGTATGGTATTAATCCATGCGGTTGCATGGAACATCACAGGCAGCCCCTCCAATTTTCGGTAAGTGGCCATGCGACCGCATGGCCACATGGCTCACGCGGTCACATGAGCCAAGAACTTGGGCCACCGTTTGATTTTTTTCTTGTCTTATTTGAACAAATTCTCAACAATCCCTCACTTGTTCAAAATTCAATAAAGTCTCATATCCAAATCATACGATACTCATGCATAAGGTCTAGATATCTTTCAATTTGGATCTAGCTATAGTGTAATCCAAACAATATAGTTGGAATAAAAGGTAGCCGTAGCTGTGAACCAGTTATTCTATTTGACAATACCGGTTCGAACACACACACGAATACCACGTGTTCTCAAGTTCCTCAAAACTCACTTAGTGCTGTTAAGGCCCTGCGCTCGTCCTATTCAACAAACTTTTAAGAGAGAAACTCCAACTCTCAATTGAGTCGACACCACCTCAAAGTTTGTTTAGGTGAAGTTCTTACAGTACCTTTGTTACTTTTAGAGATACTTGTATTTTCAGCACTGAATTTCATTAAGAGCTTTAATGCTCAACTCTCACTTCAGTAACAACCATCATTATTTTACTGAGGATAGGATCAATGAGAATTTCAATAATGCTCCACATATTGAATGACTTGTTTTTATCCTTTGAACCGGTGGATTACCTTTTGAGTAATGACAGGTAGGGTTGTCGCCATTGGTGGACCTTTATAGATTAGGAGTTTCAACCACATTCTACTCGAAGTAGATGCCACTAAGGTTTTATTTAGTGGTCTAGTAAAAGGATCCGCTAAATTCTCTTCGAAAATTATTCCACCTTTGATAATTTTCTTGTGATGTCACCTCTAAAATTTATATGTATTTATTTCTCATTTTATGTGACTTCGTATCTTATCAAAATATAGCTAGCCAATAATTGATTCATTTGATAGATACAACTTGTCACCACCAAGAAGCCACATGCTTCTCACTCGTTTTATTTAAAGCCTTATTGATTTTAAAACACCGTTGGATGATTTTCATTAATTCATTACACTAGCCAATCATTTCTATTTGTGGATTTTAATACTTGGGTATTCACTTATCATCATTAAATCATTACAATGATCTTCAATGAATATTCTTTAAATATTCCATTGGTTTTCCAAGCACAACAATCAGCATTTACCCATTTAATCTACTTTAGACTTAGTGTGTTTCATCCTTACAAGGCCTTCACTACTTTTCTCCATCATAGATGTATTTCTATGATTAAATGATAAAGGATACAGTAACTTTTTAAACTAAGTTACCCCCACAATTTCTCAATTAGGAATTCTTATGCAATCTTGTAATGTTGCATCCATATATCTTTGAACTTCTCATATAAGTTCATAAGATTAATGTTAACCCCCACATTTCGGGTTATACTCGAACATAGAGTTCCTCAATATGTCAACCCTCATATTTGGGATTGCAATTGAACTTAAAGTTCATCAACTCTTTTATAGTTTTTCTTATCACTTTGATAATAATCGTGAAAGTTTAGTTACTTTCAGATAGTGGTTGTTAAGTCACAACATACTTCAATCCAACTATCTTTAATTTTGATCACACAATTTGATCAAGGTCATCTCAGAGACCAGTAATGCCTTTCCAAGCATAAACCAACTCAATTGGTTCCTCGAATAAGACTATGCTTCTTGTTTAACAATAATTCCACTTTGTCACTTCTACAAGATTATATCATATCAAACAATAAGGCATATGTTCACCTTATTCACATTTGGACAAAATCATATTTTGTCACATTTATATGCAAACACGACTTTGCATAAGATCATCTCACTTAATTTTGTGGCTATCATCATTTTAATAGAACATGAAATCAACCATCAAGTTTATCAAGTGATTCTCGTATTCCAATAGAATAAGTAGTCATGAAATTTCATGAGCTTTCAACAAATAGTAGGCATCCTTCCACATTTATGCACATCCTTTAGACCCATTAAATATTAATAGATTGGTCTCAAAACACAAATATCGATGTGCTTTACTTGCACCTCGAAGTCCATAAGCCAACATAATGGCAAATGCACTGTGCCGTAAATGGTACCCTATGGAAACATGTGGGCAATTCAAGTGGATATATCATCCAAGCAAATGTGATAGCCTATATATTGGAATTAGTCGTCGAATAACAACCATGGTCAAATAGATCTTCAGCCACTACAATTGATTTAAATTGCATTCTTTAACATTCATGTATATGAAC